TGATCTTAAAGGCACATCAAGTAAAACTAACTACTTTGTCTCTAGAGTTACTCTAGTCCAATGATTGAAGATACTTCAATCATGTTTTGCTTAGGCTTCTGAAGGCACTTCAAAAGTAAAACTTAATGAGGTTTGCCAAATTCCAAGGCTGTGAAATTGGCTTTCCATAAAGTGTCTCAAGTTTATAGTATCTGGTCCCTCCAACCAAATTAATCCTACAAGGACCTGCTCAAGTAGCGTCAAGCTTCCTTTCTACAGGATCCTTTGCAGTTTTCACCACTTTTCTATGGACTAGGTCCTACACTGAGAATCCCCTTGGTCAGACCTTTATGTCATGTGCTTGGGCCATCTACTTTTAATAGGATGCCATTCTTATGGATGTTAGTTCCCTTTTCTCCTCTTCTATGTCCAAATCTTTTGCAATCAACTCCTTATTTCTTTAGTATCCACAAGTTCCAATCTGATGGTCTGGAGTCCAATTTCTAGGGGGGGGGTGATTGTTTCCCTTCCATAAGCTAATGCATATGGAGTTTTCCCTATTGCAAAGTCTAGTGTGGTTCGGTAGGCCCACAACATGCTACGCAATTTTGCCACTCACTTATCCTTGGCCTTTTTCGACCTCTTATTGCTTCCATGTAGGATTTTTTTGTTAGAGATTTATGCTTTTCCATTATATTGTGGGTAGGCTAGGGAAGAGTAATAAATCTTGATCCCAAAGTGTTGATAAAAGGCCTTGAATGATCTACTGTCAAATTAAGTCACACTATTAGAAATCAATGCTCTTAGGATGGCAAATTGTTGTACGATATTCTTGTTGATGAACCTCTTTGTATCTATGTCTCATACCTACTAGGGGTTTGACTTTCACTCATTTTTTAAAGTAACCAGTTGGAGGATGAACCTTTCATTTCCAAGTTCCCTTGGCCTTTGCTCTATAATATCAAGTCCCCACTAAGCAAAAGCCATGGATTTTTGTTAGGGGATTCAGATCTTGTGCTGGCTACCTTGGGATATAAGAGTACTTTTGGCATTTCTTATATTTTCTTACATACTACTCAGCATCCTTTTTCACGTAAGGGTACCAATAGCCTTGTGAAATTGCTCACTAAGAAAGTGATCTTCTTCCTAAATGTGCTCCACAACTCCCTTCATGGATTTCAAATAGAAAATCCTATATTCTGCTTGGATGGTTACACAATAAGTATGGCCCAATGAAGGACTATATGTATAGTTCTCTACTAGGTGAAAACTAAAACCTAGCAGACTTGATTCTCAACTTGTGAACTTCTTTTTTATGTTCAGGTAGCTTTCCTTCTTTAAGGAAGTTCACAACCGACATCTAGGTTGGACATCTAGGTTGGACTCTATTCATCTGAGAATTCTTCCCCCATGACTTTAGGCTCAATGCATGGCTATTTTTGGATTTCCAACAAGATAGTTCTTAATGGGGAGAATTTAATCTCAACTAAAGGAAAGGTCCTAGTTGGAACTACCTTTAGAAATGTAAGCATTGCCTGACCTATAAGCAAGAAAGGAAAATTGGAGGAATAATGAGCTCAAATAATTAGTTTTCCCCAGCCTGGTGGAAACCAGAAGAATGGTAAAGCTTATCTCAAATTGTTAGGAACCTTATTTGCTAAAGACCCACTCAAATAGTGATTTTTTAAAAATATTATAGAGAAGATAATGAGGTCAAGGGAAAAGGATAAGATTATACCCATGGCAAGCCTAATTCGCGTGATCAAACAAACTCCAAGCACTACTATGACTCTGGATGGTTATCCCAATAATGGATAAAGTCTAAAGAAGTGAAGACTCCTCAACTGAAAGGAGATCAAGCAAATTCAGACTACTAGGAGAGCCTAAAGTTGACTCTCTCTGGGACACTTATCAAAATACTATAAAAAGTGACTTCTGCGGTAAGACCCAAGTAAGCACACTAAGCCCACTCAAATTGTTGCACCTTAAAATTCTCAGATATTGACTTAAACATCAAAGGGTTGAAATCTAGAGCACCCCCTGGTCTCCGTCTTTCTTTTCAAGTACCACAACCGCTGAAAACCTCACCTTGTGATCGAAAAATGGTGTAGCTAGGCCTAGATCAGTCTTAACAACTTTCAAAATAGTTGGACGCAAGTTTTACTCCAACAGTTTGGCGCCGTTTGTGGAAAACAGCTTGATAACTAAAGTTGTTTCTCAGTTTTGCTGTACACCAGTAAATGGTGTTAACCGAAGCCATGAATGCCAACTAGAGAACAACCTACTCAAGGGAATGTTGGGGTTGAAATTATGGATCCAAACCCTCCTCACCTCAATAGATGTTAGGAAGCCCAATGGCTTCTCAATCTCGAAAGGAATATGGATAAGATGAACCAAGTTATTGGAGGCATGGCTTAATAAACCCAACAAATTTAACAAATTTTGCAAGGCCATGTTAGTCCTTAAAATCAACAAGAAAATCAGGATCTTTGTTCTGAAGGAGCTAACCCCAGCCATAAACCAAACTTGGTGAATGAGCACAATCAAAATGATTCTCTGAAACATCATGAAGAAGATGTGTCTTTGAATCAAAATTTCAAGGAGGTGAACTACCGAATTGGAGATAAATTGAACACCATGAAAGCTCAAGCTCCATAGATAGTGAAAACAATGGTTCAAAGGCTCGACTCTCCTTTCCCTTAGGATGTCATCAACTACCATCTTCAAGCAAGTTCAAGATGCAAACCATCAAAACTTTTGATGGCAAGAAGGATCATTTGGAAACTTACAAATTTCTCATGTTATTTGATGAGCATAGAATATTGCACATTATTTGTCTCTTTGCTCCCATTTTATACTTGCTTTTGTGGAGAAAATAGGGGAAATTGCTTTTAATTTATCAATTAATGGAGTTTTATGTGATTGTAGGTAATGAGTAGGTAATGGCGCGTAATAAGCCTTCTATCAAGTGCTTAAGGACAATGAAGAAGTAGGGGAGGCTTAACGGGTGGCTCGGTATTGCAAGAAATCAAGAAAAAGCCAAAACAAGTGAAAACCTACCGGTAGGTTTCATTAATGTTCTACCGGTAATACTCAATTCCAAATAAAACATGACATTGCAAGTCTCTCTACGCTTGGAGAGCATTATTGCACACACACACATTTTTATCCACACACACGTTCTCCATTTCTAACATCAAACTTGAGGGAGAATGACACTCACCAACTTTTATAAGCCATACACACATATTTTGGGTTTGTATTTGGAGATTAGGGTGAATGCAATCAAGAATTATTGCACAACATCTCTAACGTTCTACCGGTAGGTTTTGCCCAAAAATGCTAGAAAACTGCAATCTCAACTCCAACTACTATGTGGTCCCACCTCTGCTTCTTCCACACATCCTTTAACATATTCTACATACAAGCATGCTCTCTTACACCTAAGGTCTGATTTTGAAAGAAGAATCATGGAAGAGGAAGAAAGAGAAAGAGAGTGGTTGGGGAAGCATGGAAAAGGCAAGGGTATGGTCTGTCCTTGCCTACATAGTTGTCCAATCCCTTCCTAATGATGATAAGTTAGCTCTCACAGACCTTAGGGGGGTGATGGAAGAAAATGAAGACATTATTACACCATTATTTAGCTACACATATAGTTTTAGAGAGAGAAGCTTAAGAAAAAGATTAAATTTTATAGAGAAAAGCTCAAGGAAAAAGATAAAGTTTTAGAGAGAAAAAGCTAGGTTTTCATATTTTTTTTTACCATTTTTAGTGGTGTAAGCTTTAAATTACTTGTAATCTTTCCCCTTTTCACTTTAAACTCTTTCATTCAAGTTGTATGCAAGCTTAGCTAAGTATTTCTAGCATTTCAAGTTCTACATTTGGGTATTTGTTTCCAATCTTTGTATTTTGACTATGAATGTCATCTCTCTTGTAGTTTAGCTCTTTTCTTGCATTAATACAAGTTCCATGTTTCATTTCTTCATCATGTCTTTTTATATTATGCATGTTTTTACTTTGACTATGGATAGCTAAGCTTTTAGTTGGCTAATCCAAGGGAGATGTCCTCTTGGGTATGCTAAATCAACTCTCCTCCATTATTCCTCGTAGTGTAAAGTGCTTGGTTTGACTAGGTTGAGTGCAGACGTGGTTACGAGCTCTTGATACACTATAGACTTGTTACAGGGTATGCTTGAGCCTATATCTCCACATTAGTCCCTCACTTCCTACAAATCAATCAAGCACTGAGACACCATTGGTAGAATGTATTGAATTGATTTGACATTCCCATTGGAATGATCTCTTTAGATTAGCCAACCTTATTTTCATTGCATTTTTCATCAAAAACTTCACTCATCAAAACACAAACTCACAAGATTTTACACTTTTTATTTCTTTACAAAAATCACCTTTACCACAATTCAACCTTCCTTCCTTGACGAGAAGATCTTGGAATACTCAATTCCAAGTAAAACATGACATTGCAAGTCTCTCTACACTTGGGGAGCATTATTGCACACACACACATTTTTATCCACACACATATTTTCTCCATTTCTAATATCGAACCTGAAGAAGAGTGACACTCACCAACTTCTATAAGCCATACACACATATTTTGGGTTTGTATTTGGAGATTAGGGTGAATGCAATCAAGCATTATTGCACAACATCTCTGATGCCATTATGTGCAGAGCTTTCCTTACCACATTGAAGAGAACAACTCCTCTTTGGTTCAATAGGCTCTTTGCCATTTCTATTGGATCCTTCCTAGAGCGTAGAAAATCCTTCTTTTCTGATTTAATAGGAGGAATGACTCCCAAGAAACCTGTCACTTCTCTCCTCAATATCAAACAGATGAAAGAAGAGACTCTCAGGCAATATGTAGCAAGATGGATTTCACAGCCTTCATAAGTGGACTTAGGTCTTCTAGGTTCTATTTCTTTATGCACAAACATTCTCCCAAAATATGGCAGAACTCTTTTCTAGAGCATAGAGCCATATAAATGTGGAGGATGTAGTCAATGCGAAGAAAGGTGTGCAAGGATCTACCTCTAAGAAGAAGAGAATGGGCCAGGAAAATTCAGAAAAAACAAGTACTTCGAAGAAGGGGAAAGCTGATCGTGTCCCAGCCAAGGACAAGTTAGGCTCTTGCTTACCTACAGCAAGGGCCCAGACGTGTACCCCCCTGAACGTTTCGGTTGAATAAGTCCTCTTTCAAGTTCAAAATGAAAATCCCCTGAAATGTCTTGGAAAGCTCAAAACACCTCCTAATAGGGCATGATGTTGAAGATTGTTTCTCCCTCCGAGATCAAATTGAGGATCTAATCCAAAAGGGCCACCTTGGAAGATTTGTAGAAAGGAACCGTCGAGAAGAAAAAGGCCCTTAAGAGCCTCGAGAGCATCAACAACCAATGGGTGAAATTTAGGTGATCTATAGAGGATTTGCTTCAAGGGAGAAAGAAACTCAACAAGGAAAGCTTATGCCTAAGAAGCTCGAGTAAAGAAGAAGAAATCAACCTTGTTTAACCAGGAAAGGTGCCTTGTAGAAATCCTCCCATCACATTCACATATGAAGATCTCAAAGGGATCCACACTCCACATGATGATCCTTTGGTGATCTTTGTGGTTGCTTCCAAGCATATTGTTCGAAGAATTCTAGTAGACAATGGCAGCTCTGCGGATATCATATTTTTTCATGCCTTCAATTAGTTGGGCATAGGGAAGTTAAAGCTCTAACCTCTCAAGGCCCTTCTGTTAGAATTCTTTGGAGAAAGAGCTTATTTAGTGGGGCCAATTTTAATTCCTGTTACTTTAGGGGAATCTCCCTACCAATAGACCTCATGGTAGATTCTAGTAATGGATTACCCTTCAGCCTATAACATGATATTGGGGTGGCCAACCCTTAATGCCCTCAAAGTAGTACCATCAACTTATTACCTTCTTTTATGATTCCCAAAAAGTCAAGGTATTGGAGAGATCTGAGGAGATCAAGCCAGATTAAGGGAATGCTATGTTACATAAGTAAGGTCCTCTCAGTTTTTTAAAACTTGCCAGGTGGATAACCTAGATCCTAGAGATCCGGAAGACCCAAAGAGAGCATGCCCTGATGAACAGCTGATTTCGATGACTTTGGGAAGGAAACCTGACCAGATTACATATGTGAGTTCCAAACTTTCCCCTCATATTAAAAAAAGGTGGAGAATTTCTTGCAAGAGAATGAAAATGCATTTGTTTAGGGTCATGAGGACATGTCAGGCATAGATCCATAGGTGATAGTCCATAGAATTAATGTGGATCCCTAATTCAAGCTAGTAAAGTAGAAAAGGAGAGCTTTTTACCCTAAAAGGGCCAAGGCAATCATTGAGTAAGTGTAGAAACTCCTACAAGCAAAGTCAAATTCGAAAAGTGCACTATCCAAAGTGGCTAATCAATGTTGTGCTCATAAAGAAACACAAAAGAAAATAGAGGCTTTGCATAGATTTCACGGACTTGAATAAGGCATGCCCGAATGACTGCTTTCCACTTCCAAGGATTGACCTCTTGGTGGATACAACAAGAAGTTTCTAGCTTCTCAACTTTATGGATGTATTCTCATGGTATAATCAAATCTGCATGCACCCAGATGACCAAGAGAAGATCTCATTGGTCATGGAGCAAGGGTTGTATTACTACCAGGTTAGGACCTTTGGCCTAAAGAACGTCGGTGTCACTTATTAGCATTTGGTCAATCATATTTTCAAGAACCTTATTGAGAAATGCATAGAAGTCTATGTTATTGACATGTTGGTACAAAGTCAAGAAACTGAGGACCATGTGAGCAAGTTGCAGGAAGCTTTCCAAGTCCTAGGGAAGTACAAGATGAAGTTGAACCCTGCGAAATGTGCTTTTGGGGTAGCCTCAAGAAAAGTTTTGGAATTCATGATGTCTCAAAGGGGAATTAAGGCAAACCTAAAAAAATTTCAAGCTCTAATGGATAGGCACCCTCCTCGAAACATTAAGGAGATGCAATGCCTTACTAGAAATGTAGCAGCACTCAGTAGCTTTGTATTGAATGCCATTGATAAATATTTGTCTTTCTTTAAGACGTTGAAGAAAACTTTAGAATGGACGCCTGAATATGCGACAACTTTGGGAAAGCTAAAGCAGTATTTGGGGGCACCCCCATTATTATCAGTGCCAGTTGAAAGAGAGGTTTTGTACCTCTATTTCAACTATTCCACCCTGATAAGAGAAGAACAAAGGGTTCAAAAGCTAGTATACTATACTAGTCATATCTTGAAAGGAGCAAAAGACAGGTATTTGAGGCTAGAGAAAGTAGCTTTGGCACTGATCTCTACAGTGCAAAAACTACACCCATACTTCCAAGATCACCTAATTGTTTTCATAACTAAATCTCCAATGCTCGCTAAATGGGCTATTGAGTTGGGTGAGTTCGATATAAAATATTAGCTAAGAACAACCATCAAGGGGCAAGCACTAGTAGACTTTATTGTTGAAAATACCTTGTTTGAAGAATCCCAGTTGTCAAATAGCTTGGGACAAAATAGCTGAATCCTCTTTACCGATGGATCATCAAATGTCGAGGGAGGTGGGGCAGGAGTAATCCTTTTTTCCCCAGATCAACTTACAACAGAGTATGCCATGAGATACAAGTTTGGAGCTTCAAATAATGAAGCAAAATTTGAAGCTTTACTCACTGGATTGAGGTTGGCATTGTCACATAGAATCAAAAAACTCCTAGTAAAGGTAAATTTCCAACTAATTGTTAAACAAATCAAAGGAGAGTATGGGACCAAAGATACAAGGATAGCTGCGTACTTAGCCAAGGTTGCTGAGTGTATATCCCATCTGGAAGCCTCCGACATCAAGCAGATTCCTTGAGTTGAAAATGCTCATTGACTCTTTAGCTCGATTGGCTTCATCATTTCATAATGAGTTTCCAAGTGTAATCCATGTGGAGCTCCTTCCTAAACATAACATTGACGAGGTCGAGGCAGAGGTCAATGTCGCCCAGTAAGAGAAAAGGTGGACCTTTCCTATCATTTAGTATTTAACAAATAGGATAATCCCAAGGAGAGGACTAAGGCACAGAAGCCTCGTCAAAAAGTTGCAAAGTACTCTGTTATGGGTAGAGTTTTATATAAAAGAGGTTTTCTCACTCCTTATTTACACTGTTTGGAGAAAAAGGAAGCTCAGTATGTTTATGGAAATATTCATGAAAGAGAATGTGGGAACAACCTAGAGGGAGAGCTCTAGCTTACAAAGCACTTCGCCAAGGTTACTACAGGCCAACCATGTAGGAGCATGTTGTGCAGTTTATGAAAACCTATGATAGTTGTCAAAGATTTGCTAACATGTCAAAGAAACCTCCAAAGGAATTTCTATTATGACAAGTCCTTGGCCATTTCTCTAATGGGGCATTGACATATTTGGACCTTTTCTAGTCTAGATTTGCAACAATGGCGATCAATCACTTCACGAAATGGGCCGACTGTTGACCACTATCATAGAGAAGAGGCTTCGAGATTTCTTTTGCAAGTCCATACCTTATTGATTTGGGGTACCATATGTTTTGGTGCTGGATACTCGAAAATAGTTTGATAACGATTTATTTAGAGAATTCTGCTTTGAATATAGAGTTCACAATCATTACTCCTCCCCAGGCTACCCACAAGAAAATGGTTAAGCAGAGGTGACCATTAGAACACTCATTCAAGGATCAAAACCTACCTAAAGGATTCAAAGAAAGTATGGGTAGAAGAATTTCCCTGAATCCTACGGGTATATCGCACGACAGTTAAAACTCCAACAGGGGAAACATCGTTTTTGCCTTGCCTACAAAACATAGGTAGTAATCCCAACCAAAATGAAGATACGAACTTTAATAATTCAGCATTACAATGGGGATGAGAATGAAGAATAGCTCTGCACTAACATAGATATCTTGGAAGAAAGAAGGGAGCAATCTCAAATCAAACTAGCATCTTACTAGGCCCAAACAGTCTGCTATTACAACATAAAGGTCAAGATCCACGAGTTTGTCCAAGGAGAACTAGTCCTGAAGAAGGTAATCCAAGCGTCCAAAGATCCTAAGCATGGAAAGTTGTGTCCAAATTAGGAAGGATCCTATCAAGTTACTCGGATTGTAAGGCCCGAAACTTATGAGTGTTTTTGACTTGGGAAACCCTAAAAAAGAACAAGGCAGTCCGCTTCTTAGGAGATATATCAAAGAGGGAAGGAAAAATTTGCCAAAACCAAAGGTCCTAACTGTCTTTTAAATAGGTCGCGGGATGGTAGTTACAAAAACCCTACTGAAAAGATACGTAATTAATGTGCTTCAAAAATCAGAGGGAGGTAAAGGTCAAATTTCTAAAGGAAGGAAATCTCCACCAGCTTGGGAAACCAGATTAAGGGCTACTAGTGGGGAGACTTTAATCTCAACAAAGGAAAAGGTCCTAGTTGGCTACCTTTAAAAATGTAACCATGTTAGCAAGAAAGAAAAACTAGAGGAGTAATGGGTTTAGATAATCAGCTTTCCCTAGTTCGGTGGAAACTAGAAGAATGATAAAGATTATCCAGAATTGTTAGGAAGCTTATCTTCCAAAGACCTACTCAAATGGAAAATTCATTTAAATATTATGGGGAAGATAAGGCAGTCAAGGGATAAGGATAAGACCATACCCTCAGCAAGCTCTTATCTACGTGATCAAATAGACTCCAAACACAGCTAGGATTCTGGATTGTTATCCCAACAAGGTATAAAGTCCATAGAATTTAAGACTCCTTAACCAAAAGGAGATCCTGGAAATTCAAACTACCAGGAGAGCCTAGATTCAATTCTCCCTAGGACACCTATCAAAATACTATAAAAGGGAACTTCCAAAGTATGACCCAGGTAAGCACACTAAGCCTAGTTAAATTGCTACACCTTAAAATTCCTAGATACTAACTTAAGTATCAAACAGTCAACCCATGGAGCACCTATCTGGTCTTTGACTTTCTTTTTAGCTACCACAACCGTCAAAAACCTCAAATAGAGCTCAAGAAAAGGTGTAACAAGGCCTAGACTAGCCTCAACAACTTTCAGGATAGTTGGACACATTTTTTTCTCCAATAATTTTTATAGGGTTGTCCTTGAGTGCTGATGTTAAGGCAGCCAAGGCATTAGCACGAATATTCTTACCCCTAGCCCTACCTCCATGGTTA